ATATTATAAGTGCAGTAATTAACTAATATCATATACTGGTATTAGTATAGTAAAGTTTTGGTCCAATGAATGGGAGCAGCAGTATAATTCTCACGCTAAAAACAACCCAACAATTTTTACAGAAAAATAAAAACCAATAATGTAAATTGCATATCATTCAAATACTGTACTATGATAAAGATAGTGACAACTGGTAAAGGTTACGTAGGATAAAATATCATGTGAACTTTATTTTGAGATTGAATATTGATTCACCCGATCTAACATCAAGTTTTTTTTCTCACGCAATGATTTGTTAAAAACTTGTATTTAAAAAGATTAATAATTTATAAATAGCATCTAAAATAATGGACACTACAACGGACAGTACAGTAGACCACATCAACAACCAACAGCTTTCATATTAGCTATTATCTCTGACATGAATTAATTCCTATTTTTAGAAACATTGAAACATTGTTAAAAATCGGGTATATTTAAAAGTAAAACTTCAATATATCAAAAGTGAAAGTAGCTTTCCGAAAATGTAATATACGTTGATTTTCAAAAAGTTGTTAAACGTGCGATATGATTGTTTGAGATTTTTCATTTAATCACTGTACAGTTACTGTATAAAAGTAATATATTACTAAAATAAATTGAGTTCAGACAGTGCTTAGTATTAACACGATTAAGTTATATGTCAACGAATACACGACCATTTTTAGTATTATTTAAACAAAATATTGCCTAACCTTGTTGAAGCTTATATGATCGTATACTGATGTGTATGATGTATATGGCATTCTTTTCTTTTGACCTTTTATCTGTTTTATTCGAGCGTCACTGATGAGTGTTTTGTAGACAAAACGTGCGTCTGGCGTAATTTCCTTTAGCATGGTTTAATCACTCTACACGCTCATGATGTTTTTGTGGACAGGAGCTACAAGTAGACTCAGAGCGAGTATCTTTAAAAAAGGATCTTGACAAGACTTAAAGAACAGAGAAAATTAATCCTTAAAACTTAAAGAATTATGGCAAATGTCGCAAAAGTTTATAGATCAGAGAAATTAAAACCACAACCAGAGACTCTAATAATACAGTTATATTTATGAATCTTCATTTACATGTGTACCAGAATATTTATAATTTTCTTCGTTTACTTACACATTTTGGCTTTAGCGAGCACAAATAACAGATTCGATAGCAACATAACTCAAAAGAGTTGCAGTATTCATTTTATCATGACGTCACATAATGTGTATTTGTCACCTCGAGGAATATGATGTTTCATGATTTTCTTTCCTACATATATTCTTGTACTAAAGTATTTCTTATCATTGATTTATTATTTATACTGCAACACTTCCTGTTGTCTTTACCTACATGTACTTGAATAGTCACAAAGTAATATTTCGTGCAATGTCGATGTCATGTCACGTCAACTTTCTTCACAGATTGGTGCTCGTTAGGGATGGAACATACGTTTTATTTTTGTGTTAACATCTTCATAAGTATAATTGTAGTCGTTTTTTATTGCAGTATAAAAACAATATTGTTACATTCAAATTAGCGTGCAGTCATCTGAAAAAGAGATCAACATGACATAATAATTGCCTGAGATCCAAGGTGAACAATACACGAATAACCAGATCATTGTCACACTTTTATCTTGTCATTACCTTTACAAAATAATCAATAATTCTGTTACATGGTATCAATTACATAATGTATTAAATTTCAAACGACTGTTTTTGATTGAAGGTGAAATATAACATACGGAAAAAGTTTCTTTTTGCAACTCAAACTAACATTAAATGGATCACAGCTGAAGTAAGATCAGAAAAGCTAGTGCCTTAAACACGATCTTTTTCCCCTTTACGATGTTTATGTCGTTGTTGTATTTCCTATTTTGAAGTACATGCGCTGATACTTGTGTTGATGACAACATGATATCATATCAGCAGGTGAAGCCGCTGAAGTTACTCTTGGTAACATGGAGCATGCTTTGATAATGCATTATTCATTTCGGTTTTGCCTGTACATTTGTTTTTGTTTCTACATTAAACCGGGCACAAATAAACGCTCCTGTAATAGCAAAATGTGTTCCTGTACTGTTACGACTTACAGCTCATGACCAAACGTAGTGAACATTTGTCTAAATTTCGTTAAAATGACCGATTTGATAACACTAGCCGTTACCTTGGTGAATTTTGTTTCAGCTTGAAATAATCAATTTATACTGCGGTTAGTAATCAAAGGAAACTTACTTCAAATAAATCATACATTAATATCAACATGATCAATTATCGTCCTTTTCTATATTTAGATATTTCAGTTTCACATGGACAATCTAAACTAAAATTTCCGACAAAACAACATGTGTCCCACGTCAAAATCCTATGCCTGTGGTTCAGTGGTTACTGTTGTTTGCTGTCTGTTTTATCGATCTGTTTCTCATTTATTATATTTATCAGAACGGTAGGTTTTTTTTGATTGAATTGTTACAACTGTTGTCATGTCGGAGCCTGTAATGGCTGACGGTATTGGTTCTTCTCATAGTTGAAGGCCGTACTATGACCTTTAATTGCTTAAATCTACGTTATTTGACTTAGTTCGATTGTTGTCTCATACCACATCGTCTTATTACCAATTCTATTGTACGTTCTTCCAATAATATTTTGTTATTCAAATTACTGAGATTAAAAGGGAGTAATTTGAGATTGGGAAGCTAGTTCATCCCCAATACATGAGCATTTTCTTTTCCAAGTAAGAAACATCATAAGTGATTGTCCATAATGTTTGATGTGAATTTGGTATTGAGTTGATCTTTGTTATATTATTCACAACTTCGATAGACTCCTCAACAGTAGATCACATATCGTATGGATATGCGGCTATTGTTGATCTCCCACGATTGTCTATAGTTGTTTTCTTCGTGTCATTTGATTGTTGTTTGAGTATGACTGCCACTTATTTTGTTGATTGAAGCCATAGTCTCTGGAAAGAATCTCCGGCCTCTGGTAGAAATTTGACAATCCTAATTAATTGAGATTAGAGTCAAATACACCGTTGAAATAATTAAACTGCATGGCTATCTAAGATCAACTTAGGTTGATTTTGTTACGAATGTCTTCGATTAGGTGTTATTCTGACAGGATTTATTGATTTGGATAACCTGTCACTCATGATAACGAATATGTTTAATATGTGACTTAAATCTGTTTGAAACGACTTTACATGTCATTTTGATTTTTCTGTTTATATGAGTATAATTTGACAGTTGTTTTTCACTCGATTCGTTGATTGTTAAAACTTAATTTTGTCGGTTTTTATGGACTTCCCCTTTTGAATATAACTATGAGTTCGGTATTTTTGTTATACTTTTTAGTAAATTTTTCATTCAAATATGAGGTATCAAAAATAAATATATACACCTCTAATACTTTTTGGTAGCAAGTGAAACATTTTACAAAGATTGTATTTGTAAGTTCACTTTATACAGTAGGCACTCTAAACGTGTGTAATTATAACCATTGCATGAAATTGAAATATGTAGTATGATCATAAACAACTTTGGTCAAGTGTATACTAGGTTGACATTAAACCTAAAATCTTAAGGGGCAAACACGATTTAAAACAGCAAAATATGGGTAAATACATACCAAAAAGTTATACTGTGAAAGTACTTTTTTTCGTGGGGTACCAATTTTGGTGTTTTGTTTTTGGTTTTCTCTATCCACGAATTTTAGTGTCCAACGAAATACAATGACTTGAGCAAAGTGAAAACATGGAAATGTAACCTTTGAAGGACCAAACTTGGAAACGAGCAAATAACCAATAAAATTATTTGAATGAAAGCGCTTGTATTTTTCTATATTAATGCAGAGAGAATATATCCTTGAAAGCTGTAAACCCTCAATAAGCAATTGTTTTACTTTTTTTTCTATTTCTAATGAAGAGTGTGTTAAGTTTGATAACATTCGTATTTCCGGTGATGACTGTTACAGAATAATTAACAAACATATAAATCAAAATAAATACTTTATTGTGCTACAACATGTACAATGTTAAGGTAATAAATTATCACGCAGTCATTATGAAACACAATTTCCGTATGCTAAATACTTCGTTTACGATGGCTGTCCTATACAATTTTCACTTATACTACTATTTTTTCCCCTCAAAAATCTTAAATCTACGAATTTAGGAATCTACAAACTTTTCTTCAAACCACGAAAATTGATACCCACGAATGAAAGTACTTTCACAGTATATTAAACAATAAACCAAAAGGTTTATATTTTCATGATGAACTCACAAAATAATTTTGAGAGTAACAGTCTTTTTGAAAGCGCATGAAAATAAAGGACAAATGACTTTAATCGACAACATTTAAATAAAAGAGACATGCGGTATACGTCAATGAAGCATACACACAACGAAACAAACGACACAAGATGATAAAGGGGAATGGGGCACATAGTCTTTTATACAATTCAAGTGTCTATTATACAATATGCCCGGCGCTTAATCTTCCATATTTAAAAAAATTGAATAAAGTAGATAGGAACTATCAAAGATCTGCTGTCATCACCAAATTATCCAACAACAAAAATATCAGATATGACATTACATTGTAGGAAAACACACAATGAGTGGCAGTTGTTCAAAGGAAATAAGCTTTCCCTTCCAGGGCAACACATGTTTAACGTGTTTTATAGACGGCTTGTTGTCCTACCGTCGTAATTGTCATGGTGTTTTCGGTTGTTCTAAGATTGCTGAATTTTGATTGTCCCTTTAGTATATTTCGCTTTTTTTTTCAATTACTCCCTTTCACTGTCTATATTTTTTGTCAATAAAATTATTCATCTCCAGTAATAGAAAACCACCTCAATACTGCATTAAGTCACAAACATTGATTTTTAGATCACTAAATATAGAAGTTTATGATTAAAGCGATAAGGGATATTCGATCACGTGTTAAACTTGTATTTCCCATATAATCGATTCATTGTTGTTTTTAAATATTTTATCGGAAAGATAACATAAGATGATATGCATACCAGTTAGTAGGGTTATGCTTATCTCATGTGTCTTAAATTTCAGGAAGAAGTGTTAATTTTCTGAAAATCGTATAATCTATTATGTCATATTCAAATTTAGAGTCATAAGAGAAAGAGAAATATAACATACAGTAAGTCATATATTTGTTTATTGTACGCAGTTGTAGTTCTGAAGAACAATTTTCATCGTGATCGTTAAAGTTAGGTTATAATTATAGAATAATGATGGCCTTGAAACTTCTGTACTGGGTGGTTTGAACAAGAGTTTGTATTAGATACGTTAATGCCAGTACACACGATACGATTTGTATTATAATAATTTTACTAAAAATATGAATTCTTGCCGTGTGTACATTCTAAATACAATGTTTTATAAGCTATTGCAAATCCTAAAAGATTGTATTGAGGATGGATAAATTTTCTCTCCTTGTTAGATTTTTTTGGAGACTTTTTATTTTTATTCACTTGAAATGTTCCATTCTAGTGTCGTTTGGAAGAACGTGTACAATACTAATACATATTTCTAAAATGTGAACAAAAATAGATGCGCAAAAAAGATGGCGAGATTTAATATAAAAAGGCTTTTGGTAATTTGATTTTCCATTCTCAAATCATCCAATAATTGATGCAACTTGTGCACCGAATATATTTCTCCGTTTGATTAAAAGTCTAGTCCAACATATTTATTAGAATCAGAACTTGACTTTTCATAGAATTTAGTTGAAATACATAGTAAAAAAATAGTCACATTGACTGATACCGTTGTTGCGGGAAAACATTATACAAATTGATCTGATAGAATTTATCTGTTCATGTGTACAACAGGATCTTGTATTACAAAAACGTACAATACTAGATATTTTTATGAAATTTTATCGTGTGTATCGACCTTTAAACAAACGCATATGCAGTACTAGATTATGTAACAACAATAAAGCTAGTGATATTATCTATCAACCAGACTTTAATCTCTCCGATGCATATTGCCATCTGGAACGTATTTATCACAGAACTAAGCATCATCACCTTGCGTGTCACTATTGCAAATAAATGAAACTGGAACAGGAAAATCGTATGGTTGAAATAGTTGAATTCACACTCAAGGTTTCTTGTCCCTTTCTTCTTTTTTAAAACTGATTTTTATGTATAATAGGCTTTGTTTTGTAAATGTATAATAGGTTTTGTTTTGTAATTGTACAAAGCTCCAATTCTATTCATTTCGAATATACAACTAAACATCGCAGATATGTTTACCATTTTATAAAAAAAAAACAACTTGTGCCAAAATTTTTATTATATTTGTTTTAGTGAATCGTGTTCATTTGTACATATACATTTGTGTCAAAAGAAGCTTTTATATTAATTCTTTTTTAATATCTTGATACAACTCGAAATCTGACTCATGTGTAGGGAAATGGAAAAGGCTGAAATCATGCTTGTTAAAACTTATCAAGTAGAAATTGAAGCGTAGACATGGATTTGGTTGTGCAAATGTTTTCACTTGCGTTTAATAGTATCATTTTGACCAAAAGAAGAGTTGTTTATTGTGTAAACATCTTCTTTTTAATCATCCTGATATTTATCCTGAGATCTGCATCAAATACTATATGGATCAAGTATTTAATTACTTTTTTAACAATTTTTTACAAATACTACACCCATTTCTACCTATTGATTAAATGGAGAATGGAAATGGGGAATGTGTCAAAGAGACAACAACCCAACCATAGAGCAGAAAACAGCCGAAGGACACCTATGGGTCTTCAACACAGCTAGAAAATCCCGCACCCGGAGGCATGCTTCAGCTGGCCCCTAAACAAAAATGTGTACTAGTTCATTGAAAAAGGACGTCACACTAAACTCCAAAACATATAAATGAACTAAAATCAAAAAAACATACAAGACTAACAAAGGCCAGAGGCTCCTGACTTGGAACATGCGCAAAAATGCGGCGGGATTAAACATGTTTAGTGAGATCTCAACCTTCCCCCTATACCTCTAGTCAATGTAGAATCTTATGAGTGAATCAATACTTATACCAAAATATGCCATCTTTAATGACCTGACAACAGTATCGTAACTATATCCCTTCTGAATAAGTCTGTTTAAAGATTTGGTTAGCTTTTGAGGTGAATGTCAACATTTTTGTGCTTTGTATAGAATATTATCATAAAAGATTGAATGTGAAATACCTGAACGTATAAGATGTCTGCATGTTGATTTATATTTACATGTACGAATGATGTCCTTGTACCGATGATAAAATTTAGTAAATGTTTTGACTAGTTTGTGATATCGAAAACCCTGGTGTAATAATTTTTCAGTAATACAGAGGTTTCTTTCGTTAAAATCAAATACGTTGTTACATACACGAGCGAATCGAACAAGTTGAGATATATAAACACCATGAGATGGTGACAAGGTAACGTCACCATCTAAAAATGGACAATTAACAATAGGAAATGAAAAATCATCTCTTTTATAAAAAAAATTTAGTATTAAGCTTCCCGTTAAAGATATAGATATCCAGGAAAGGGCAGTGTTCATTGTTAGTATAAGATTTATTTAAAGTCAGTTCAGCAGGATAAATCTCTTTAGTGTACATACTGAAATCGTCATTATTGAGAGCAAATATTATCCAAATATCTAAAAGTGTTATTAAATGTTTTTATCAGATGTTGTTTCGATGGGTCTTTCCTGATTTTAGTCATAAATTGTAACTCATAACAATACAGAAACAGATCAGCAATAAGTGGTGCACAGTTAGTCCCCATTGGAATTCCGATAACTTGACGATATACGGAATCTCCATAGCGAACAAAACTGTTATCTAGTAAAAATTCAAGGGCAGTAATCGTATCAAAGCAGGTCCAATTGACATAGTTCTTTTGTCTGTTGTTACTAAAAATGACATAAACCATATATACTCGCATTCTGACTTTTCAAATGCCCATTTGGTTTGTGATATCAAAAACCCTGGTGTAATAATTTTTCAGTAATAAAGAGGTTTCTTTCGTTAAAATCAAATTCCTCTATCTCATTTACCATTACTGTTTAAATATTTGTTGGAACGAGGATTTTTTCTCAATATAAATATATGTTAAACTCTGATATAGGTGCGAAGTTTACTTGCCGAACAAGATTTGTCATTTCTTTTTTATATATTTTTGGTGATTTTCATATAATATGTTTTTTTTCTATATACCATGAAATGACATGAATATTAAAAATTATTCAGCATTGAAATGATAACAAGGTGTTTTTAAGAAATGACTGTCCTTTATTTTTCAGGATAACAAATATAACATACAATGGCAACTAAACGCACATTAGACACAGATAACACAGAAGAACAAACCACCAGTGAAACCAAGACCAAAAAAGCAAAAATCACTTTAGTGAGTTCAAAAGGGTCATTGACAAAAGAAAACTTCGACAAAAGCAATCAATCTTCCAAGAAAGTAGCAGACCAGATAGAAAAACCCATTAATGAGAAAGAAGAAAAAGATGACAGAAAGGATGACCATATTATGACTGCCAATACCATCAAAATTGGTAATAACGAAACCAGCACTTACAAATATGTTGACACGAAGGATAAGTTCATTGAAGTCATTAAAGAGCTCCAGGAAAAGATAAAAAATAAACAAATGATAGCCGTTGATTGCGAAGGGGTAGACTTGTCAAGATTTGGATCAGTAACAATGATTAACATTGGCACTCAAGATTTGGTCTATCTAATCGATATTTTGAAAATAGGGAACAGTGTATTTGATGATGGTCTCCGTTCTATACTCGAGGATAGTGGATTAGAAAAACTGATGTTCGACTGCCGAGAAGATGCCGATGCTTTATTACACCTTCACAAAGTTAAACTCGATGGAGTACTAGACGTTCAAATACTAGAAGTAAACAATCGAATATACAGAAATGGATATACTAAGATCAGAAGCCTTAAACACTGCCTAGAGTTATACGTAAATGACGACACATTATTGAATGTCAAGTTACAAGGACGGTCAAGTATGAATATGTCGAGTAACATTTGGGAGAAAAGGCCATTGGACGAAAACATGTTGAAATATGCAAGTGTTGATATTCTTGGTCTTTTTAAACTGTATGATGCACTTCGTACCCAAATGGGCCATAGCGTCTGGAAAGCTGCCTCAAATCGATATTGTGACACTACCCGATCAAGAAACAGGGTGTACCGTGATGGCAGTGGCATCTTACCAAAAGGCGTAATATTATAATGGCATGGACTTAGGTCATAATTCATCATTATGATTATTTTACCCCATTATACTATTAACTAATGCGATGTTAATCATTGTTGTCAATTTCAGAATCATGATGCGAATGCTACCAAAGACATATGCTAAACAAAATAATATAACTATATCCGCCATCTCACTTTGGTTGTTAAAGTTTTCGCAAATTTAAATCACAATTTACATTAAGTTTACATTTAGATAGGCAAATATTACTTCAATACGAAAATATTTTCTTTGAATAGAATGTAAGTATGTGCAGATGGTTATTAGCAATTATATACATATAAATCTGTGTATTCTCTACCTAACACTTTGCTGTTACCGTATCTTTATATAAGGATATCAGGAATGGACAAACTGATTTAATGCATTAACATTCTCATTTTCTTGTATTCATTTATGTCAGATTACTGTTGAATAAGATTTTTACAGTAAATTCGAGGCAACAGTTGTTAACAGATGTTCAAATCTACAAAGACAAAAAATACAAATCATGGTAAAACAATGTGGGAATCGCATGAACTTAAACAGGAGCGAGAAGGGGCTGGTCAACGAGTATCTCATGTTATGCACGAATCACCCACCATGCAAAAGGACACAATCGGATATAGGACACCATTGGGATTTCATTAAAGGAATATTCTGCTATCTAAAGATGACAACAACAAAAAACCCAGCGAAAACAAATCATACTACAATTTTATCGAAATTCATTTTTCAGACAATATTGTAAATATCGTGTTTGTCTTCAATGGATCGATGAAAGTAATGAGATTCTGCAAGAGTTAAACCCTAGCTTGATTTCTATTTATTGAATACTTCCTTAACGACAACATCGCATAAGAGCATCAATCTCATGAGCTTTTCCAGTTCAAAAATAGGCGGAACGTACCAAAGGGCCAACCAAAATTCATATGTCAGAGGTTCATTAGGACACATCTGTTAAGGCTAACTTGATCGGTTTCTTTCTATAATTGTGTTGAAATGTATCATTTAAAGAATATGTTGTCATTTTGAAGTTAAATGTTGAAAAGTAAATTCAATGTTGATAATATGCCACCAATATCTAACAATAATGTTATTGCATAATTTGCAGATTTGACTCTAATATCAAAGATATTTGTAATCTTACCACATATATAGATATTGATTAAAATACCGCAAACACATGATAAAAATATTTTGATTTTATCATTATAAAATCAGTCTTTACCTGAAGGTTTCGAATTGATAAAAGTTGTATGTGAAGTTTCACATTTAAGTTTTTCCTTTTGATTTTGTCGCGATTATCAAATTTAATTCTTTTTCACTTTTCTTGTCAGATATGTTTATTTCAATTGTATAATTGACTTATCTTTTCAATGTTAAAACATGTAAAAGTTCCTCTTTGGAAGATTTCAAAAATGTATACATTGTATTTTTCGTAAATTGTCAGATGTATACTACGGACAGCCATATCTTACCATATATAGATATAAGAAGATGTGGTATGAGTGCCAATGAGACAACTCTCCATCCAAGTCAAAATTTATAAAAGTAAACCATTATAGGTCACAGTACGGTCTTCAACACGGAGCCTTGGCTCACACCGAACAGTAAGCTATAAAGGGCCCCAAAAAAATTACTAGTGTAAAACCATTCAAACGGGAAAACCAACGGTCTAATCTATATAAAAAACGAGAAACGAGAAACACTTATGAACCACATCAACAAACGACAACTACTGAACATCAGATTCCTGACTTAGGACAGGTGCAAACGTTTGAAGTATCATTTTTATTATTTTGATATTTGACTCCTCATTTGTTTATCACACGTGGATTATATAACTTGATTGGTGTACATTTCAGTTTTATTTTGTCAGTTGATACATTTAGATAAGTATACTATGTTCTCTATTATGAAACTTTACTCTTTTAGTTGTACCTGATCATGCTGAAATTGACGCCATTTTACTTTTGCAATTGCGATACACAAACAGTCTGATAATGGTGTTTTCGAAGTTATCTATTATTCAATTTGTATGTAGGTAATGTCAACGGGTAAAGATTACACAAACAAATCGACATCAGCTAGAATGCAAATCACTGTTTCGTAAATGTTTTGTAAAGCTTATAAATTCATTCACTGAATAAAAGGTTAAGATACATTTTCAATTACTTATTGGAATCTGTGGTTTGCTACTCGTTTGTATTTTTATTTTCTACTACATATGAAAAGTTTGTTGTTAAATTTAAATGATGATGTATGCTTAAAAATAAAAATAATGATTAATAAAATATAATGCAAATATGTGTTATACTCCAGTTACATGTAAGTATCACATATCACTTTTATCTTCTATCAATGTAAATCATGCAGATTGGAGTGACCGAATGCAATACATATATGTTAAAAACAGTTAAGTATTTATAATGTTGATATAAGGAAGTATTTACAGAAGGAATGCTATCTTAAATGACATATATATGTGAGTTGAGTGAACTAAGAGCCTAAAGTCCAGTGGTTGTCATTCGCTATCCGCCAGAGTAGTTCTGTAAAAAGAAAGATAACTCCTATTCTTAATCATTCGTCGTCAAATCTTGATGCCCTCTTATTTATGAGTTATAGCACAATAAGCACAATATTGACAATTGTTGTGTGAAAAGAAAGATAACTCATATGCTTATCAATCGTCACCATATCTTGAAGCCCCCTTATTTATGAGTTAAAGAATACTATTGGGAACAATATACAAAATTGGTTATGTATATCCGTTTTCTTACTTTTAAATTGAACATTTATATTGCAAAGTCTGGTATATACAATTCGTTTCTTGGCAAAAAAATGGACTGCGAAATCAAAAATACCCAAACAAAATCAGAAGGCATATCCACCTTTTTACCAAAACGTAAAATAACAAAAAAACCGAACTAAGGAAAATTCAAAACGGAAAGGCTTATTTATTATTTATTATTTTCTTGATGTGTACTTTTCACATAAAACAGGTCAGGAGGCTATTGTTGATACTTCAAAATGACACCTGTGACTTTTATGTATTAATGTGCTTCAGGCATGGGGTAATTGAAAAAAGTAGTTGTAGTTGCTTATAATTAATTGCAATTTCTCATGTGAAAAGTAAAATAACAAAAATACCGAACTCCGAGGAAAATTCAAATCGGAAAGTCCCTTATAAAATGCGTAATCAAAAGCTCAAACAAATCAAACGAATGGAAAACAACTGTCGTACAGGCGTTTCCTTATGTAGAAAATGGTGGCTTAAACCTGATTTTATAGCTAGCTAAACCTCTCACTTGTTTGATGTACAGTCGAACCTGTATTAGGCTGTCACTCATGGAATATATCAAAAGTGACCTTCAACATGCTCAAGAATGTTGATGTTTTAAAAGAGGTTCGGGAGAAATCCTATTCGGACATGGACCGTTGCCGGGACCGCGGCAAATTGTTTTATTGGTTTCAATTGGTAGATTTGACGTTCTTTATTGCAGCTAAATGAAATTAAATAAAACATGAAAATGCATGCAATATTAATTATTCCCACTTATAATGCTTGACGTTTCTTTGAAAATGGTGGTTCAAACAGTCATTACTTTTTTACTGAATGCTGCAAACTTTAATACAAGATGCAATTTTGTTTTATCAACTAACATTTATATAAGTACATTGATAGTTTTTATCATGTGTTCAAAATTTTTATATGTAGAGAAAACACGACTTTTTATTATCCAATGTTAAGAATTTTTATCAAAAGGGGAGGTAATTCAGTGATTTCTTGTTTTCGAATATACTGTTAATTTGTCTACTTTTGCTATTGCAGGGTACTTCAATCGACAACCCCACTTTTATTTTTATATCCCAGCAATGTTTAATAAAAGCTTACTATTGATACGATAATTCTAAATTCTATCGTTTGGTTTTATTTCTTTTTACACACAATTTTGTAACTGTGTATGTTCTTTTATAAAGAAATGTGCATCATAAAAAATACTATACATATTCCTTTTTTTATAGGTGTGTTCACAACAGTAGGAATTAAGAATGAATATCAAGTAATTTCTGGTTACATATTAACGTCTAAGAAGAAGTGTTGGAAATTGCCATCTTACTTAAGTATCTATTTTAAATTCATCATTTGCATTAAACAGTTAAGTGTTCAGTACTGAAATTTCTTCATCTTTATCTCTTTAGCTCTGTGAACAATTATTGGTCAACAAATGTTGTTAAAGAAAATAATAAAAAAATATTTATGATACAAAACTATCGGTATGTGAAAACAACCATTTGTTGTTGTATTTATGATGCATATATTTCACCCAAATTTCGGAAAATGCCTGTACCAAAATAGGAATAAGACGGTTGTTCTTTTCTCGTTCCGTTGGTTGATAACGTTTGATTTGTCAGTTTTTATGGACTTTACCTTTTTGAATTCGCCTTAGAGTTCTGTTGCTTGATAGAGTCTCACGTTTACGTTTGATTATATATTTTTTATGGACTTCCCCCTCTTTGAAGTTAATTGGTGTTTGGTATTTTTGTTATATTTTTGTTTTTTCACACACTTGTTAATACTTCCACATGTTAAATCACCTATCAGAAGTCAAGACCTTGTGTTTTGTTATATCTTAATGTTTGTTTCGTTTAAGGAATCTTGTTTAGTATAGTATTTGTTTAATTTATTCACATCTTTTCTTGATTTAACATGGTGTTTACATATTGTCTACTATTTAAAGCCTACAGGTCAAACATGCATAGCGCTTCAGTCTAAAAACAAATGGCAATAGCAATATGCTATTCATAGCAATACTTCACCATATCTTCGATGGTGATTTAACATAGCATATCTTTCGGAATTTTGGGTCCTCAATGCTCTTCAACTTCGTACTTATTCGAGCGTCACTGATGAGTCGTTTGTAGACAAAATTTTAATCCTGGTATCTATGATGAGTTTATATAATTGCTTTTAAGTTCTCATTTGTTTCAGGAGGTTCTGAAGTACAAAATCAGAAGGTTTTGTTTATGTTAAGATTTGAAATGAAGAATATATAAAAATGTCTCACCATTAAACTTCCTTTTCAGCTGATGTGGTATCTTGTCATTCATGATATGAAAATTCAAATACCAAATGAACAAAAAACATCAACATTTTATTATCTCAAAACTGTTCAGACAAAGTAGTTTTTTTACTATTTGTTCAAACGTACTATTTGATTGGTATTATGTGTCTTCAGTTTTTTTGTTGGTTGATTTCGTGAATAGTGACGATCTAACGAGCCAAGCACTTTTCATTTAACATTTACACTTTATTGTGCTGTCCAATGTTAAAAATAGGGTGATCACAGACATGTTTAGCCTGCTTCATTCTAATGTTTCTTGTCCTCAGCTTAGAGCCTGTAGAAATATGGTCATCTCTTGTTCTTCTTCCGACCGGCAAAAAATCTGTCCCTATCCAATATACACGTATTTGCAAGGAACACCCCAAATGTTCTGCCCATTATTCCGATCGACACTCTATTTCAGTACCTACCTACATGTATTCATGCTATTGTATTTATTGTTATTTATTTGTTCTCGTCCTAAAGATGCATGAAACATTGTCATTGGACATAAAGCAAAATAATCCATCTTAATTTCACATCATATATCAGTTAACCAATAACAAACTATAACAAAATGTGTTTTGTCTGTATGTGCCTGTCCCAAGTCAGTAGCCTGTAATTCAGTGGTTGTCGTTTGTTGCTGTATATCATATTTGTTTTTCGTTCATTATTTTGTAAATAAATCAGACCGTTAGTTTTCTCGTTTGAATAGTTTGACATTTGTCATTTCGGGACTTTTATAGCTGACTATGCGGTATGGGCTTTGCTGATTGTTGAAGGCCGTGTCATTTAGTCTCTTGTGGAGAGTTGTCTCAATGGCAATCATACCACGTCTTCTTATTTTTATATTAATCTTACTTTGAGAACAAATTGTTCATTGTGATTATTTGATCAGGTAATTATGTTTCATTAGCTTTTTAATTGGGTTTTCCTGCAAACTAAAGGGTCATACTGTTTAAGAGAAACAATATATTGCTTTTAACATAAATGTTTTCATCAACATTGATTAAGAAAACTTTTCAAATGCCAAGATTAATTAGAATTTTATTTTCTAACATATTATTGCATATATGAAGCCTAAGTGC